AAAGCTATGGCAAATCTAGACAGCATACTAAAAAGTAGAGACATTACCCTGCCAACAAAAGTTCGTATAGTCAAGGCTATGGTTTTCCCAGTTGCAATGTATGGCTGTGAAAGCTGGACCATAAGGAAGGCTGAGTGCCGAAGAATTGAGGCCTTTGAATTGTGGTGCTGGAGAAGACTCCTGCGAGTCCCTTGGACTGCAAGGTGATCAAACCAGTCAGTCCTAGAAGAGATCAACCCTGACTGCTCTTTAGAAGGCCAGATACTGAAGATGAAGCTCAAATACTTTGGTCACCTAATGAGAAGGAAGGACTCCCTGGAGAAGATCCTAATGCTGGGAACAATTGATGGCAAGAGAAGAAGAGGACAGCAGAGAATGAGGTGGCTAGATGGAGTCATTGAAGCAGTTGGTGTGAGCTTAAGAGGACTCCGGGGTATGGTGGAGGACAGGAAGGCCTGGAGGAATGGTGCCGTGGGGTCGGACACAACTTCGCAACTAACAACAGCAACAATGCCTATACTTGGAGAAGACTGTCCATCAGAATTCAGTGACCAGGTTAGTCTGAGTTTTGTCAAGAACAAAGGGCAAACGCTAAAGAATCTAGATGTGCAAAGCTGATAGAGACTTACCCAGAAAGGCTTGCAGCCATAATTGCTGCCAAAGGTGCTTCTACCAAGTGTTACTTGGGTGTGTATGTGTGAACATGCCAGTTTGCTTCTCTTTGATCAACTTCTGGGCCACAATAGAAAGATTTTGCATCTTCACAGCATTCAGTATCTTGTGTGCTATGGCAACAGTACCAATTAAATCCAGTTCAATTTTGTAACATGACAAAAAGTTAAAAGGACTTGTGTCACTTAATTTTCATAAGACTTACATGCCATATAATTGAAAACAACAATAATCAAATTCATTTTCTCTGATAGTTCATCCATCAAGTTTAAATTTTTAAACCATTTCATTGAGAACATTTCAGCTAGGATTTTTTTTAAATCTAAATGAGGTCAACACCAGGGACATCACAATAACATCAGAAGTAACCCTGGAGTCTGGTGTAATAGCTGCTAACTGCATATTAATGCCTTGGATGAATTAGCAGTTCCATTTATATTGGCAACCTAAGATGAAATCTTGCTAAAGGTGAGAGTTTCCACTCCTTTTTATCTCAGTTTGAAAAACTACACATTTAACTTTTAGTATCTTAAAAACACTCTGTTTTGGCTACATAATGCTCAGGATTGGCATCTTTTAATTATAGTCTCCAATGGATCAAGATTAAGAACTGCCTGGCTTTCCTCTTTGATCTGAGAGTTTTTTACATGGCAAACTGAAAAAGGGTTTATGATATGCCCTGGAACGTTCAACCTGGTTGCTCACCACGACTTGAAGGAGTTCTGGTTGCCTCAGTCTCATAAAAACTTGGATCAGGTGGTGCACCTGCTGGCAAAGTTTCTTTTCTTAGGTAACGGTTGAGCTCCATTTGAATCCGGTACTCATCTTCCTGCTGCATGGGTCGATTTTTCCTGTCTTTGTTAGACAGTTCCATTCTATTGAGATTCTCTGCAGCCAAACAAAGAATACTAATATGCAACTTCTGGTTCAATTCACAAATTCTAAATATAAACATTCCTTCTTGCTGTTCAGTTTAGCTTCTCCAATGCATTTCCTATGTTTGTTTCTTTTAGCTAACAAAACTATGAGAAACATTTTCCTTTCATAAAGAAAGATGTACAGAATTGCTGCACAGAACTGAAGTAAGTATTTCAGAATCTGAGAGCTGCTTGGTTTTTGTTTTTCCAATTTCAAACTTTGCTGCTAGTTGGTATTAATTTATTTCAGGAACACCTATGCCAGAAATTAGCATAAAAACAAACAAGCTAACATGTGAGCAGACAATTTTCTGTTTTAAGAAGGAACATTTATTAACCATTACTTTCAATTATTTATTAGGATATTTTTATCTGGTTCAATACCAATTGTCTCTGGATGGCTTACAATATTTAATGATTGACTTTTAGCCAGAGAATATCAATCTTCTTTGGTTGTCTCAACTAAATAGTTCAGCAGCTTATTCACAAGACTTAGATCCAACTTCAAGTGAGGGTATGTCTAGACATGCAATGAGATTTCTCATTCCCTTCTTTGTCCAGCAGCTTTAATCTGTTCTAGAGACTGCTCCATGCCTCATGAGCGAATTGTGGGTGTGGGGAGAAATACAATGGTTCCAGGGGAGAGGGAAAATCCTCACTGACAGTTTTCTTTTCACTGGCAGAACACAACTGGATCTATATAACTGATACAAGTTTTTTCCTCTTATGGTTCAGTCAATTAATAAGGGAAAAGGTTCTGATTTGGCAAAGTTGTATTTGTTATTCATTCTTATAAACCCTCCACCTTCTCTCCTAATCAGAAGTGTAAAAAAGGGAACTCTCCTGCTACACCAAAGGAGAAGAATGTAAGTGAGGACTGCATCATTGCCAGCAATTACCACACACAGAGACTTGGTTTGCACATAATGATAACTCATTGATTGTTTAAGCCATGAATAGTTGGGGCTGCAAAGCAGTGAGTAAGCATACTGCTTCTTGCCTGCCGCTTCTACTTCGAAACCTGTATCCAACTAGACTGGAAAATGCAGTTTCTAATTACCTGGTCCAGCAATGGCTGCTAACATATCCAACAGAAGATGTACCTGTCTGGGTGACAGAAACAGGTGTATGGAATCTATCTGTCCATCTACATCCAACTTAAAAAGATAAAAGAAAATAATTTTAAAAGATGGTAAGAAAAATTTATTTCCAGTCAGCAGATTATGTAAAAACTCAACATTCAATCATAAAAGGCATGCTACAGCATCAATTAAAAGGCTTACCAAGAACTGCATTTTGTGTGCACAGTGGCTAACAAGATGCCCATGGGGAAGTTCTAAATCAGGATATAAGCACAATAGCACCCTGATGTTCACGTTCCCCACCAAATGGCACTGAGGGACATATTGACTCTTGAGAGACTGTAGGTAATATACAGACATCAGCAGACATATTGACTATAAATTTGGCTAATCTTCTTTTAAAGCCATCCAAGTTGGTGACCAACAATACACCTTGTGGCAGTAAATTCCATAGTTTAACTATATGATGTAAGAAGAAATACTTCCTTTTATATGTCTGGGATCTCCTCGCACTCACCTTCATTGGATCAGCCTGTGATCTGGAATTTTAATTCCTTCTGATCTAAAGTCAGCTGCAGATACTATTTAGGGAAAAGTGGTTCAAAAACAAAGCTATGCACAGATAAGAGCCCTTTCATATAAAGTTGCCCCTCCACACTCAGGGTCAAACTGCAAGAAACTGAAGCTCTCTCACTGGTGTTCTCTGCAGCTGGCAAATGGTAAGGGAACTGGTGAAGTGGCAATGCCTCGGACACCAAAAAGGACTTCAGTACAGTAGGAGCCATTCACACAAGTGGTGGGCAGACATTAGGTAACACTTTAACATTAGTTTTGTTGAACATCAGCAAACTGGATCCTAGTTTGTTCAACAAACCATAGTTAAAACAAACTGCAGCTTAGCATTATGTACATAAGCAACCATTGACTTGGTCAAACAAAACAGAAGCTACGACTGAATAGGATGAACGCAATCAGGATCTAGCCACCCACTGACTAAAAAGGTAGCAGCAACACTTGCAGACAAAGTGGCACAATGGCAGCTTTCAGGTGCTTACATTGCCTTTATCACATTTTTGTTTTGGGGAAAAAACACAACCATGAGGCAGATGTAAACAGGCTCTGGAGATTACCCATAAAAGTTAAAAATGATAGTGATTTAATTGCCCAGGAATACAACATACACGTTCTTCTCCCTTCTTCAGGCTCAGAAGAACAGCCAGTCAAAGGTTAGTTACATAGAAGAGGAGAGTAGCATCAAGGAAAAAGGTAAAATAAGATAATAAGTCTTGAGATTAATAAAAGCAAATGAATGCATATTTTTTTCAGCAAGAGAATGTCTGAATGTGAACCTTATCTCTCGCTATGTAAGAAGCTACAAACTAACCTTTGCTCCTGGAAGCACTTCATTTTGCTTTAATGTAAGGCTCAGTTCCATCCTTCCGATCAACCTACATATCTGTACAGGGTCTGAAGGAGAAACCTCTGGCAGGTTTCTTGCTAATTGTGGGTGTGGCTCATATACAATTTTTGGGTTCCAGCTAGGTGAAAGCTTTGGTTCTGTTACCTAAAAGGAAAAATGAGGAAAGGAATTAGAAGTTAACGCAACTAAGAACTCTATGTACCATCTGCAGAATACACAATCAGAGATTACATGAAAACTGCATCACTATTCAGTAGCAAGCATAAAGAGAGAGAGCCCTGAAAACAAGTAACATACAGGTAGTCCCCAGGTTATGAACAACCTGTACTCATGCATGAATGAACAGTCATGCTATATGATTATATATAGAGAAAAGTCATGAATATCTCTAGGGGACTGTGGGATACATTTGGTGATGCAACATCAGTGACCACGTAGCTCCCTAGAGATATCTACAGCTTTTCCTTCTGCACCATCAGCTCAGGCATACCCAAGCCAGTGTATTTCAGGGCACATGTAGGACCTCAAGGATGAATCAGAACCACAGCAAAATGGTTTCTGGAAAGGGCAAAAGCAGAGGTGTTCCAATGACTTCTCCCTACTTCTCTGTTGTTGTTTCTTGAAATCTTGTTTTTATTCCTAACTTCTTAAACCATGAGGAAATACTGTGCCTAAGGTTTGGTATTGTTTGCAACTGGCATTTTATTACTCTTATGGCTTACTGTAAATTAGAGACTGCGGGTGGTGCAGTGGTTTAAACTGCTGAGCTACTGGGCTGAAAGGTTGACAGTTTGAATCCACACACGGGGTGAGCTCCCATGCTCCGTCCCATCTCCTGCCAGCCTTGCAGTTCAAAAGCATGCAAATGCAAGTAGATAAATAGGTACCACTTTGCTGGGAAGGTAACAGCATTCCGTGCACTTCGGTGTCTAGTCATGCTGGCCACATGACCACGGAAACTGTCTGCAGACAAACATTGGCTCTTTCCGCTAGGAAATGGATATGAGCACCACCCCCAAGAGTCAGACATCACTGGACTTTAATGTCATGGAGAAACCTTTACCTTTTTACTGTAAATTAGCAGACTAACCCAGAAATATATTCAGAAAATGAACAAACAAAAAGAACAAGCAACATACATGACTTAAAGGTGCCCAAAATCCTTAATACGCATGATCCTGTTATAATCTATGCAAGAACCATAGTGACCTAGCTTAACTTTATAAGACACTGTCCTGAAAGAGTGTTCTGAACTGATTAAGAACTGTTTCTTTTACTTGTGTTTTACAATACTGTATACTGACACACATACATACAGATTTTCTCTTCTGTACCTGTAGTTACTTTATTATTACTATATTGTTATCATTATCACAATGCTATATTGTGTTTAAGATATTTTAGTAAATAAGGAAGAAAGTGCTTAAGTTTTTTACATACATAGAATACTAAAGACAAACATTTGGCTTACTCATGTGATCCGACTTACATACAAATTTGACTTATGTTCTCAGGAATGGAACTCGTTCGTAACCTGGGGACTACCTGTAACACTTTTCTAGTATTATGGGATTAGCTTTTTGCTCTCTGAACATGTAAACCTAAGCCATAGCCAATTTATATTTATACAGCATATCATTTTAGTGAACATTGTATGCAGCAATCTTTGTGAACTCTTTGCATTTATCAATTTGTAACAATTATAACTCAGCAACTCTGAGTTAACCTAAAACATAGCTATGACAGAATGGTGGTTTGAATGTCACCAGCAAGTCAACATTCTAGCCACTACAATGTAGAATATACTGTATATTCTCATTCAGAAATATTTCACTATAAAATGAGAATATAATCTGTATAAGTACATCGAACACAAGATTTGGCAGTAGTAAAGTACCTTGCCCACTTCAGCCCTCAAAGAATTAGAATCCAAGACAGTCATAATTGCAGACAGGGGAGGAGGTTCGAGAATGAAAACGTAGGTGGACACAGTTTCACTCTTTTTGTGTGTATCTCTGTATCAGAGACAAACAGGATGAATACCTGAATGTAGCTTAACACATAGTTCTAGGCCTCATCAACTATCTGAGCATATACACACATCTAAAATATTTTACCAACTGTGAAGATGAACACACTGGAGAGGATTTTGCAGATGCTGGAAATTCATCCCAGAAGAAAGAAACACCAGAGAGCTGTAGCAGTTTATGAGCAAATGCTGTAGGCTGATGCACATTAATTCCAGAGCATTCATCAGCAGTTTCATCACAGTACACTGTTCTGGGAAAATGGAAATAAAATAATGAAATAAAAACAGAAAAAAATCATTAACAGAGTTTTGCTTTACATACTATCTCTGGAGAAGTTTGAAAGCATTTCACCTCGATTTTTTCTTGCATACTAATCATCCTAGATGGAAGATTATATTTAGCTATGTATATGCATGAGTAAATTCCAAATTAGCAAAACAAACGAGTATGACTGGGAAAAAAGCTCTGGGGAGTCAGACTTTGTATCTGAGTCCTTCCAAGTTTGGCACCCTTACAAATCGTACTGCATATGCAAAACGTCTTCTTGTGCCAGCCTAGCATGGCATTATTGTACTGTATAAGCACAGAAGACTTCTCTGTGCATGCAGCATATTCTACAGTGTCACTGTTCTGAGGCAGAAACCCATCATGCTCTGCTAAGCCTCCATTCCAGAACAGTCCTGCTGATCAGCACAATCAGCCTTCAGATTCCACAGGTACTGTGGAATTCACAAAACATGTGGCATAAAGTTTCATGTAAAAGGACATCACTCTATTCTTCACTTGAAAAGAACACACTACTTACTTCTCAATGCGAATTTCAAGTGCTGTCCCACTCTTAGAATTATCTGGCACATGCTCAATTCTCAGAACAGTATCTAAAAAGTTGACCTTCGCTCTTCTTAAAACTATGGCACAGAAATAAAAATAAGTGATGGGGTGACATAGAAATGAAGAAATTATGCATAATATATACAAGATTCAGCCAGCTGTATGTCTTTCCATAAAAGCAACTGCCCTCTTTTCCCTTTCCAGCACACAAGTATGGTTCACTTTGCACTTGTTTGTGTAGATGGATCTATGTGCTTCCCTCATAATTATCCAGCAGTTCCTTACCTCCTCAGAAGCGAACTAACTTGAGGATTAAATCATTGAGAAGAGATGGGCTGCTGAATCATTAAGGAACATATATACTGACCTCCTCTCTTCTATAATGACTAGTGCACAACAGTCCATGCATGCAGAATTAGGGATCAAGGAAAAGAGGTTCCATTGGGTTCAACGACAGTTCCCACTGTGGGCACAGCTATATGTGGCAAATGTTAAGGTTAGCATCGCACACCGATTTCTCAAAACCTGACCAAAGTGCTGGATTGCACACACACAGGCTGGGTTCAGAAGCACGGTTCATCGCTTTCTGCCTTAATGTAGACAATCAGGCTCATGATGATAACTCTCCTCCATCCCACCATTTGCTTCCCCCTCAGTTCTCCTCCCAAGAGACACTGCAGGGAGGAATGAGGACCTGCTCTTTGACAGCTGTGAGCACAAGCTGAATTGGCCAGCTGCAGCTGTCAAGCAGTCTCTGCTGCATGAACAGCATTCGTGTCCTGAAGTGCAGAGAAGAGGACAAAGGAGCTGGCCAGGCGTCCTTGAGGGGAACACTGCAGCAGGTGGGACGGTACCAGATGTACACATGCAGCAACGGGCTGGGGGGAATCAGATGGGCAGTGCGGCATAATGGATTAGGCTGCTGAACCGATTCCCTTGCTGCGCACTGCATACACATCTTGTCTATATGAAGCGGACAGGAAACCAGCTGAGTGGTGCTGCCGGGCTCCACCACTCAGCAGATGCTCAGAGCACCTTCCTGGCAAGCAGCTGTGAAGAGGCGGCGGCAGCGCTCTTTCACAAGCTGGCACCGGAACGCCTTTCTGGCAAGCAGGAGCAAGAATGGGATGCAGTAGGGCACCCAGATGAGCAGCTCCCGGTCAGCCACTACTGCCCAGTTTATTCTCACTCCTCAGGAAAGTGTGTGGTGGGGCAGCAGGAGAATCAGCTGGGTGGCACAGCCTTCAACCAGGCACTGCCACCAACTCCTTCTTGCCCCTCAGGTGCACTTTCAGGGGGCAGCAGTGGAAACAGCTGCACAACAGTGTGTCTTCCTGCACGGCTGACTAGCAGATTGCCACTACTCTGAAGATCTTTAGGGTAGGAGGCAAGCAGAGAAGAGCACTGCAAAACAGGTGCTCTTGGTGGTGCTGTCTGGCTAGCTGCTTGGCAAAGGCAGCAACAGACTGCTCTAACCAAGTGGCTCTCTGGTTCTGGCCTTGGTACCACAATGAGTTGTGTTTTCCAGATGACGCAGCAAGCCACCACAGTACTGATAAACCACAGAACAGATGGTTGTTTCTGTTTGTGGCTTCTAAAAACAGAACATACCACTCCAACATACCACTGCAGAGTTCAGGCAACATGACAAACAATGGTAAAAAAATGCTGTGGCTTGTCATGCTGTGCAAACCTGACTACAGCAAATTCATTTTTTTTTAAATCAAATAACAGCACATGAAACCAACATTTCCAAAATTAGAATTACAATACTTAAGAGTTACCCAAATGACAGAAGCTTCTTTAGCTTTATAAGATGTGACTTAGCCATTACCTGTTTCAATGGTTTCAGCAAACTTCTCAAGTCCTTCAAAAGGCTGGGTCCCCTCTCCTTGTTCATCTGTTAGTTTCTGGCTAAGACATTCTTTTGCAAGCTGCATACTACTAGTCATAAAGCTTGACCAATACATGGGCTCTGAACCAGAAGCTAAAAAATAAGAAATACACCTCTTATGTTTTCCATTAATAGACTTCAGCAAGTGTAAGATCAAAACCAAAGTGCCTCCATGCGGGAATCTTCATGGAATAGATCAGAAATATAGCTTCAGAATATAAGAATGACAGACAGAACAGATTTAAGAGCTGTTTCCTAATTTATCTCCCCTCACATTTGAAGTGTTTCATCAACTGAGAGCTTCAGCTATTGGGCAGTACAGAAATTAATTAAATAAATGTTACTGTATATCAACATGATCATGCATTGATTGCCTATCTGCCATTTTTCTCACTACCTCCCCCTACACATAGGTTTGCAGCCAACATAGATGCAGTCCACAAGAAATTAGGGGAGGAAAGCACTGTAGAATGAAATAGAGCACTAAAGAACACAGTGGACTGTCATGTTATTCAAAGTCCAGCAAAAGGAGATATTGGCTCTCTCCTACGGACCCTTCTCCTGGCTTCCTTTTACAGCTGTCACTACTGTGGTTATTGTGAGGGGAGTGAACTGAGGCTGGGGGTTGTGGGGGGATAAAAATGTTAAAGCCTGGTAGCAAAAGAAAAATTATGTGCAACTTATGTGACTTCTCCAAAAGGAAGCTGAGAAAAAGGGTTGAAGAACCAATAGTTCCCCTTTCTGAACTTGCTGGATACTCCAGGAAGTGCTGAATGAAAGCAATGCAGTGACAAATGTCAATTTAACACTTAAAGGTAAAAGGATTACCTTGCTAAGCAGGAGCCCTTTCAGAAACACCTAGAAACAGCTACTTCTTCCACTTTCCTCCCTTTGTTGTTTTCCCTTAACTTTCCTCTCTCTCTCTCCAACTTCAGGTCTTTAATAAATGTGTGCAAATTTATCTATATGCAATCTCACCTTGTCAGTTTCTATATACCATATTTTTCACTCTATAAGATGCACTTTTTTCCCCCTCAAAAGTAAGAGGAAATGTCTGTGCGTCTTATAGAGCGAATGTGTGTGTGCCCGAGGCCTGGAACGCTGCCGGCCCACCTGCACCACGTGGCACCACCTGGCCGGCACGTGCTCGGCACACGCTGCTCTGCCCCCCCCCCCCGGCGCAGGTAAGAGCTGTGCCGCTCAGGGGGAGCGGTGTGGAGGAGGAGGAGCCGCGGGCTTTAACCCACCAGCCGCACGGAGAGACAGACTGCTCACCCCCGCCACCCGGAAGACCACTGCCGGCACGCTGCCGGCCCGGCTGCACCACACCTGGCCGGCACACGCTCAGCACGCCCTGCTCCGCCCCCCTCCTCCAGCCCAGGTGAGAGCTGTTAATCACAGGTCGCTGTGTTTTCAAATGGCAACCTGTCTTTTAATGAAGCCCATGGGGAAGTGATGGGGAATTTGCCTGTGATTATCAGGATGCTTTCCATGGATCCCTCCTCTAAAAACTAGGTGTGTCTTATGGTCAGGTGCGTCTTATAGAGCAAAAAATATGGTATGTTACCCAGTGCACTTTGCTGCCTTTAACAGTTGAACCTTAAAAGGACATTGATAATGTAGTCCTGCCCCGTCAAACAGTCGTTAAGTGTGCACTTGCAAAAGAATAAAAAACACAAAAATCATGAAGATATTTATACCGTGTTATAGGGTTAAAATAGTAAAGGTGTTGTACTGGTGTCTTTTTTAACAGGTGTGCATGCAAAAGACAGAAAGCAATTGATTTCACTTATATTGGAAACCTCCAAGAAATAAGTGGATGAATGCCTCACATGGGCTTTTCCCAGCTTGTGCAGGGGAATCTTAAGCAGGGCATTCACATGGTGAATAAAAATTTGGATTTGTCTTGAGTGAAGCACATTCTTATGTATGAGAAAGACACAGCTACACAATGATAAACTGGTTCTTTTCACATATTCTGGATTCTGATTGTAAACCTGATTAAACAGCTGGAGCCAAGTCTGCAATGCAAATTCCAATATGATGACTGACATTTTTGAGAAGAAATTTAAAGCCAGATGTCAGTCCATTACACATATAACAAGCTGCTCAGAGCACTGTATCTCTGTGTGTGTTTCAATAATCTCATATTGTTTTCTTTGAGTGTTACAGGACTGTTCACAAGAAAAGGCCAAATTAGCCATAAAGCTTTGAGACACACAAACATTGATACAAGCAAGATATGAGCCAAAAAAGGCTTGCAAACTGTATCTGAACTGCGGGTGGCACCCTCCCACTCTCAAGAAGATAATGTGTAGCAGTCTTCCCCAGTGTGGCACCCTTCAGATCTCTGGGATTCCAACTTTCATCAGACACAGCCAGCATGGCCAATTGTCAGGAGCTACAAACCCAAAGCATCTGGACAGCGCAAGACTGGGGAAAGCTGCTTTAAGACCCACTACCTTATTATCTGAATAGAGAGGGATGGCAGTGCAAGCTAATTCACAGAGCTCAGTTCTCATATAAGATATCCAAATATTCTACTTTTCATCAATTAATTGGGCCTGGTGACACTGGCAATAAAAAATTATTGATGGATCACTGTAAAGTTAAAATAACAAAGTAGTTAGTAAGTAGTTATCACACATACCTAGACGGGGCCTTGGCCTGAAGACCATCTCTAAGCCCTTCACTTCAAGTGCACAGTTATCTTGAAGCAATGAGCCCCAAGGAACGGACAGAGAAATTGACTGAATAAATCCCTCTGTGACTTCCAGGGGAGCATCTGCTGACTCCATAACCTCATTAAGACTCTAAAGCAAGGGAGCAAAGAGAATGCAAAGTTACTTGATTTAACATAAGCAAAATATATTCTATTTTTGTTCACAAAAAAACTTGTTCTGAAAATGGGAAAACATTCCCTCATTGCTACTGCTGCCATGTTCCCACAACAGCATGTACTTTTTTCTGATTCATACATCCAGTTTCACCTGACTCACAATTAACTAGTACCACAGGTTCAAGTTTATCAGAATTGATTAAATTAAAAAGTTCCTGCCAACCCAAACCCAAAAGAGGAAGCTAAATGTTTGTGAAAAAGCTTTACAAAGATTTAAAGAAATCAAGCAATGCCCATTTTACAATTGTCACACTGTGACGAATGAATATTCAACTGCATATTGTTCTGATCATCATCTCAAAAATGATTTGGGATAGTATTCATAATTAATTTGTTTTACAATGTTTAAAAATACAAAACCAACCTGCAAAAATGCAGAACACTTTAACACAGTAGTCTTTATTCACTGGGAAAGCATATGCTGTGAGCAAATAAAATCAAATATTCCCCAAAGATTCCAGTGGTAAACAAGGCAGTTGTGCCTCATCATTAACATTCCCAATTCCACAGTCTTTCCTGCAATTACAACCCATACCCTGCCTGGATGAAAAAACTACCATTTTGTTTGCTTGTTCCTTAAAAGACTATTATATACCCCTATTAAAGGCTTTAAAAATTAAATTTTAAATTCCCAAACGTCCAAATTCTAAGCAGAGTCTGACCAGCTCCTTGGTATACATTTGAGCTGAGAGAAATGAAGTAGGGAGAACAACAGATAGAATACAAATGGGTTCAATCAAATTTAATCTGATTGAACACAGGGTAGAGCCCATTAATGAACTGCTTCTGTGGCAGTGAGAATAGTAAAGAAGGACTGCATCTTAACAGCATCATCCAGAGGACAGTGAGTACTCTTGTTATAATCTGGGCCAGAAAGAATAGTGGTTATGTCTTTGTTGGTACTGTGTGACTGATTTGCACTTAGAAGGTTAAGATGATGCATCTACCACGACCTGTGTCTTTCAGCTAATACAGCTCCAGCAGTACTGGTGTCCAGAACATTAATTCATTCAGTTATGTTGGATAAATTTCACTTGCTGAAGCCCGAGGATTCAGACAAGGTATTTGGTCAAGTTCAACCAACCACCTACATGCTTGTTCCTTGCCCTTATTAGTCAATCACATTTAAGAGGAGAGGTAATCTCTGGTTGGACCCATGTTGTAAATTTATCTGGGGTGGGAGGCAATAAGTTGAGATGTAGGGGCATTATATTGATGTGGGTCCATAACAACCTGGATGGCCAATTCTGAGCCATGGTGCTGATGCATTACTGTTCCACCCCCAGCAATTATGTTGAGACTTTCCACAAGACTCCAGGTAAATCCCTATACTTTGCAACATTGAGATTAAACTGCTCAGAGAAGCTTCACATGGATGTGGGCTGATGTGTCATGCAGACTGCAACCAGCTTTACATTGGCTAGATATCAGTAGCCTAAGATCACAATCCTATTTTTTTTTTTTTATTTAGAAAATTTCTATGCCGCCCCATTCACCGAAGCCTCGGGGCGGCTCACAAACATAAATAATTTCAATTAAAATAATATAAATTAACAGTATAAAATAAGTCGCCCTGGCCACAGAATAAAATAAATAAATACTATTAACAGTTAAAATGACATTTGAATAACAAGGTCTTCGCCTGGCACCGAAAAACAAATAACGACAGCGCCAGGCGGACCTCTCTGGAGAGCGCATTCCATAGATTGGGCGCCACCGCAGAGAAAGCCCTCCTCCGAGTACCTACCCTCCTAATTTCCTTCACAGAGGGTTCCCAGAGAAGGGCCTCTCCCGCTGATCTCAAGGGGCGGGCGGGCATATATGGACGTAAGTGCTCCTTCAGGTAACCAGGACCCAAGCCGTTTAGGGCTTTATAGGTCATCACCAACACCTTGAATTAGGCCCGGACTTCAATGGGAAGCCAGTGAAGCTGACGGAGGACTGGAGTCATGTGAACATAACATTTTGTCTGAGAATGCATAGCAATGTGCACTAAATTTGGAAGGGTCAAGCTCAGGTATGATAAGATGCATTTCCAATGACCCTTAGACTGCAATGACTAAAGAAGAGTTAATAGATGGCACCCAGAAACATACCACATTTGTACCAGCTCCAACATGGGCACAACTGGGGGAAATCAACTTCACCCCTTTCATGTAGACACATGTGGATGCTCCTGGTGACCAAGAGATTTGCCAGAATTATTTAATGTGAACTGACTACAGATCTGTTCAAATAATAGCTCAACCCTGAAAACTCTCCATTGTGGCAAGACAGGAATGATCTCAAGCTCAGTTGAACTGCATCACTAAAATATGCCCTCACTGAGAAAACGCATCTTCAGATCAACACAGAACCACTCACAATTCATTACAGAAGGGCAGGATAGGTTGGGGCAGGTATATATAAAGCTGGAAATCTGCTCCTGATTTCATCTTGCAGAATTCCAGAGGAAAATATTATATAAGCAGAAATGAAAGACCTGTTTGCTACCCATCAGTACTTATTCCATTTCACCTGTGTATTATAGTGCAGAAAGTACTGGATTTTAATTCAGATTTGTTCTAGAAACAGTATTTTTCATGTACTCCATCTAATCCAGGCTACACTTCCTCAGGAAAAGAACTATGGCAGTTCCCTATTCTGCATGCGTATCAACATTCTTACAGCCACCTGCTCATGAAATAAATATTATGGAATGTGAATAGGCAAGTTCCAGTATGTTGGTTTATTCAGTGCTGTTTTGTACTACAATGTAAATACAGCACACCTTGGGTCCTGACTATGACAGTCAGTAAAACTACTCTTCTCAATTATCCCTTCTGATAGTCTGAGTCAAGATAATGTGATCACAATGCATTGTCCACTGATGTCAATGCTTATCACAGAATCATAAAACAGTAGAGTTGGAAGAGGCCAAGGAGGCCAGTAGAAGGCAAACTTCAACAAGGAAGCACACAGTGCTCCCTAATGTCACAATTACAATTATCCAGCTAAACCACCTCAGCAGTCATGACAGACAGTGGCTATGGAGAAAAAAATAAAGATGCAGCAGATAATATGGAAGACAATCAGTAAGTACTCTAGCCTTCTGAATCCCCACTCAGTTACTTCAATTTTCTTCTCAGTACTGGGGATGACTTCAGAATTTTTAAAAACTTTATGTGGTACACCCAAATTCTACTAAGAATTATTTGTAAGAAAAGGCATATAGAATAGCTAGATACAATGGACAATGAATGCACTTTAAATAATATTGCATTGCTTCTCTACACCACTCAGCACATCAAAAAGGTAGAGTCACTAACACATGAATCTTCCTAGCAGAGCTTAATAAAGCCTATAAAGTTCCTCAGGGTGCCCACTAGAGCACATTTAGATCAAAACGGTCAAATTCCACCTATATGCCATAGAGGTCACATGAGGAGACTCATGTTTACAAATACAAAATATTTTCATTTAAATGATTGTCCCTGAAATATTTGCACTGAAATTCCAATAATGAAAATACCTAGCTACATATAAAAAATGTGTTCAGGATTCACAACTAGCCAATGCTGTTAAATATATCAAAACTTGTACATCTCAGAGAGAGAGGAATACAAATTATGCACACACACCTACATTAAGCACTATATATAATTAAGCACTTTCAATATGTAAAGCAAAAAGTGTGAGTTTGATCAGCTTCTTGGAGAATACCAGGAATAGAATGCATGCCTAAAAAAAGTTTCTCCAAAAATATAAAACATCTGTAACAGACCTATCCAAAATGTTAGCATGTGTTCAAAATACAATTCTTCAGAAAAGCTACAAAGTTTTTCAGAAAAGTCCAACTCCCAAGTTCTTTCAGTTACAAAACTATTATGAGAGAAAGCCAGCCAAACAATGAAAAAAAAAATGGTCAGGCAAACAAAAAAGTGCATCTCTGGCACTTCCCCATGTACTACAGACAGTTTCTAGTTCCACTCTTAACTGGAAAGACTGGCAGGCAGTTGCCAACAGTTATAGATGTGAGTCTACAAACTCCCATTGCATTGATTTGCATACTAGATTTGTACCTTGTCACACAGCTAGAATGAATTTGCAAGGTTGCCATTAGACTGAGTTAGTTAAGAATGGGGCTGCCATCAGTAAAATGAGGCTATCATTCCAATAATCCCAATAGTCTAACTGATGGATTTATGTCAAAGTAAAGATATACACGTTGCAAACTCTCAGCAGGTTAAATATGTATTTCTAGGGCATTGTCTCTGCTCAAGCTTCCCTTGAAAGCATTACTCCTCAATTCAAAATAGTAATATATGTCAAGATGTGTTTTGTAGCCCATTATTATGAATGTTCACCCAGAAGCAAGCTCTTACATCACTGAGGCTTCTTCCTGTGTACCCATGCTCAGATTACAACCTGGCTGAGACAGCTGTCTGCCAGGAAAACAATAATTTCCATTCTATTGTCTGAAATTACTAAAAAAAACCTTAACATGAACAATGTATACCATGTGGCAATCCAGTTTGACTCCAATGGAACTGTGACCATGGTTATTGGGGCAGGTAGAAAGAATCATTTAGATAAAGATCCACTTACTTGGAAGCAAAATGGAACATTCTCTGGTAAGCCTGTTTACAGCTGTCACCTTTAGTCTCCTCGAAACAGGCTCTATCCCAGTCTTCCCCAACCTCGCATGATCCAGATGCACTAGTCCCTCATCCCATGTTGTCTGGGGATGACAGGAGGGATAGCCCAACATATATGGAGGGCACCAGGATGGGGAATGCTGGTCTATACAGTGTGCTTAATTACTTCAGTGATGACAGAGCAGAGATAAGAATCAGCCAGAACATCTGTCAAAGTCAAAAGAGGGCTTGCCACTTGGCAAACGGGAGTTTTCCAGTGGACAGGGAAAGAGAACTGTATGAAGCATCACTTACCCATTTATCTAGAGGCACCTGTGCCAAGGAGCCAGTGCCTTGATAAAGATCTAGAGTGAGCTGCTCCAAGCTGAGCTTCTCCTGAAGAAAGTGACCCAGGTACCTCTGCAGCAGATACCTGCAGGCCCTTTTCTTGATGGACTCCGAAAAGGGCCAAGGCATGATGGCAAAAAGGCGCTGCTAGAAGAAGACTGGAATCTCAGACCCCGGATGGGGTGTGGACCTGTCAGGCGAGGGAAGATCGAGGCTTCTGCAGTGGGGACTGAAGTAAAGGACAGCAGGTAGGGTGGGGGCACAGGAGGAATGGCGTTTAGGAAGCAACAACAGGCTGACGGACCCCAAGTTCCCCTCCCCGGTTGCAGGGGGAAGGGGAGTGGCCCGTTCGAAGGAGGCCAGGCGTTACTAGCTCTGTTGCTGGGTCAAAAAAGGGAAGCGAGGAGGTGAGCAAAGTGAGCCAAGCGGGCTCCGCAGAGAAAGGAAAAGTGGTGGCACTTTGGCGGCTGGGCCTCCCTCAGCCCGGGGAAAAAGACGCCGCGGGGCTCCCCTGCTCGCAGTTTTTATTCCGCCCCGTCCAAGACGGTGTCAAATCGTAAGAGCCTCAAAGGGGCTTCGGCGCAAGCGACAACAGGCGGCCGCATCCCGTCTGCCACCGCTACCTCAGCGTCCCACCGCTACAGCCACAGGAGTCGCCGCCGCCGCCATCTTCCAAGCACGTCTAGCCCCTCCCACAAGGGGGCGGGACTTAATGAGGAGCACCCGCCACGAGGGGCTTCCCACGGAGGGCCCGTCGCGAGCGCAGTTACCTCCCGCCCTCTCGCAGCGCGTAGCGTAGTTGGCGGGGGTTCCTTGCTCGGCTGGACGTCACTACACGCACGAGCGTTGCGTTACCGTCATCCGCCTGGAGGCGTGCGGGGGAGGGGAAGGAAAGGAGCGAAGGAAGTTACACAAGGGATTTTTTCCCCCCTTAAGCTGTGAAAGAGGTGTGACAAAAATACACGTGGTCATTACTTCCGGTTTCTGTTTGAAGGAACCCAATCCTTCTCAAAGCGGTGGGTTGAGGGAATTATTTGTGGAAAGATATTTTATTGCAGTGTGGATGGTTTTTTCCCCCCAGTTAGCCTCTGTTTAAAGCGCTTAAAGTCTTACCGATTATATTTGTCTGGTTTTGTGATTTTTTTAAAATAGTTACTTTGCTGTAAACTGCCTTGGGAGCAAATAAAAGATCGGAGGCACAATCCTAGGCACTCTTAGGAAAGGAGTTCTGGGAAATGCAAGACTTTCTTCTGTCTAAATTTGCAGAATATCGCTCCCCTAAACGGTTGTGGAGATATACGGAATATAATGCCAAAGTGATAAAGGGGATGACTTTAAAAATGTCCAATCTTATACGGGTTTACTTAGAAAACCTGCAGCGTTCAATGGAGCTGTTGTAACATGTCTTCTCTGTATCGCATTTTGTTTCAGCTATTTTTAAACGCTGGTGCGTTATTTTTAAATTAAGTATTTCGGGAAAAATAGGGTGTTTCATTACATGGTCTTGCTTTGTGGGCTGTTGTAGACTTCGGATATTGGGCGATATAGAAATTCAGTAAAATAAAAACAACATGTGTGAAACGATACAGTACCGATTTTTTTCTAAAGAAAAATAATAGTGATTAAATGACTAAAACAAAGGTGGAGTCCCGCTCCTTTGGCCCCCTAAATCTGTCCCATAATAGCTTCGCCTGAGTTCCGTTTTCCACGCATGTGCAATCAAGAACCGGAAGTTTAACCTAACTTGCGAAAGGCGGTGCGTGGCGTCCGCTCTGCCGTCGCCGGCAGGCGCGGCACGTGACTGGAGAGTCTCTGAGCGGAGAGGGGGAAGCGGGTGAGAGCGCGAGGCGGCGGCCGTCGCTCGCTCTCTGTCCCTCGCTCGGGGGCGCTTCGCCGCTGCAGGCGGGAGGGCCGGGCTCGGGCGACCTCTCGCCTCGAGGAAGGGAGCCGGCGCGCGCAGAGCGGGCTCGCTCCCTGGCTGGCGCGGGCCCCGGTCGAGGAGCGGACGGGGCAGGGGATGGAGTAGGGTAGGTACGTCGCGGCGGGCAGGGCAGGGCAGGGCAGGGCAGGGGGATGCTTGCCCGGGGCGCAGCGGCAGAAGCAGGCGAGAGGAAGAGGCGCTCCGGCGGCCGTTGTGGGGAGCCCGGGTGGGGTAGGAAGAGAACAATGCGGCGGGAGGGGAGGGCGGTGTTGCCAGCGGACCCGTTGAAAAGCCCGGCCTTGCCCGCGCCTGTGCTGGGAAGCAGATGGCAGCCGGCGAGGCTCTTCGCAGCTTCCGAGGTCCGGTGGCGCCCTCGCCTGCCGTTCCCGAGGCGACCCGAAGCAGGTCAGAGCGTGGCTGCAGAGGCAGGAGGACAGGCGGGCGCCCCCGAGAGTGACCCCCGCCTTTCACCCCAGCCCTCCTCAGCTAGTTCCTCCCCGGACGGTTTGCGCTTTCGCGCCCGTCGGTCCAGGGCAGTGTTTCCCAATAGTCGGAGCTGCTGTGAACCAAAACATCGGGCGGGCGCCACGATGCGGAAGGCTGCCCCATTCTGGTCAAGCGTGTTGCCCCAAGGGTTTAAACTAATGTATTAAAGGCGCTGGCCGGGACGTGCTTGGAGCTGTAGGCCTTTTTTTCAGTCTAAGGATCGAAATAGGATTGTGTTACAGAGCTGTGGCTTTCTCATGGTATGGGGTCTGGGAAGGGGTGGGTAGCACGAAGGTAGGGAGGGTGGCTTGAGAGGGAGCTTTGCTCACTTTTCGGACAGTACTAAAGAACTGCAGAACTTCAGTGATTTCAGGCAGGTGTTCGGATGGGTGCCGTTTGGGGTCTGCTTGCCAGTGTGAAAAAGAGAACCTCTTCTGCATAAAATCGTTTAGATAGCTTGCTGACTTGAGCTTGCCTAAACTGGATGAAAAGCAGTCCTATAAGACAGGGAGAAATGTCAGGTGGAGATGTTGGAGGAAGCTGCCTTTGCTGAAGAATTGGCTTGGGGAATCTGTGTGTGAGTTGGAGAGTGGTAAGGAGGGGTATGGTTTAACAAGACTTGTGGGATGTGTGTGGTGAAAAAGAAGGTCTTAGGCTGATCTATGAGTACAAAAGCAGAGGCGGTAGAGCTTCCATTGAAGGAAGGGGGGTTGATGTGGGTGGAATAGAGAGTTGGCAGATCAGTTTTCTCAGAATGAATGAGCAAATCAAAGCTATTGCCTTTTTTAAAAAATAAAACACTATCCTATTTTGTGTGTGGTGGGAGGGCATGTTTTGAATGTATGACAATGTTTGGCAACCATAGTTGAAAAGGAACAAGAACAATTTATTTATGTATTTAAAACATTTCTTTGCCGCCCCCATCACAACAAAGCCTCCGGGCGGCTCACAGCAAGAACCAATTTAGGAGATAAACTAGGAAGTATTTGTAGTTCATTTGTAGAGAAGCAGGAAATGGCATAAGACAGAAAATAGAATTGGGTGTGAGGTGCAATATACAGAAAACGGTGAATGATCAGTTCAGACTACAAAGTTTCTGGCCCTCTTTGTTTTTGTTTTGTTTACTGTTAATTACTACCCCTCTCCCCATATCCTAGGCAAAATTAGAAGATGCTAACAGTTCAGTAATGCTTAGTAGATGGGATGTTCTAACAGTGAGAAATACTAGTTCTCCTGGGAGCATTCCTTTGTTTAAACCCTCTGAATTGTTTGTGTTCTGTGCTTTTAAAATACACTTTCTTGTGATTTGGTGAAATATGTTTGGACCATTGCCTTTTTGCTATGGGAATTTCCATAGATGATACCTTGCCTTGTTCTATGAATAGAATCCCCAAAGATTACATTGATGTTTGCATTCTGTTTTTATTACCTTTCTACTTGCTTTCATTTAAAGAACCTAAATGATTTTTAATAGTGTGTGCACACGCACACACCCTCCCACATTTTTATTATGACGCCTTGAAGATTAGTACTTGCATGATGGTATTCATCTAGAACAGACCAAACATAATAAAATTCTTGGACTGAGGGTGCCTTCGCATGTTTCTCCCATATATTTCCCCTGGGACTCAACTTATTGTGGAGAAATGCATATTCGTGCACCGCTGGAATTGGTCTTGGAGTTGGAACTCCAAAGTCCAAGCCTACACCCTCCTCCACGCACAGCTGGCACAGAAAGAATTGCATATACATCTTGGAAAGGAGTGTAAAAGGGTATGTAGGGAGGGGGAAAGCCTGGACCAAGGGCTTGTGCTGATTCCTGTCAGTGTCCCAACCTCCTTCTCTCCCCTTCTTGACATTAAATAAAATAAGGGCACAAGACACAGTGGCAACAGAGGGCACCACCGCTGCACCTTGTTTGGGGCTTAGGATGCACATAACCCTCCGGATTCAGAGGATCAGATGCATCAAGGATGAGGATGATAGGACTCAAGTCTTGAAACTCAAGTTTCTGTAAATGTTTCTGGTCTCATCAAGCCTTCTGTGTCTTTTGTTAGCGTTAAGTATTACATTCCAATTCTGTGTTGGTGGTTTTGCTGCATATAATTTTGAGGCCTATCTTTATTTAGAAATGTTGATGAAATTCTCTACTTGGCCTTCTTAAATCTGACAATACATATATGTGGTAAATGTTATGGTGTGAAAAGACCCCATCTTTTTGAGAATTCAGTTTCTTTTGCTTCAGATAGCTCTTGGACTGTTGAAATCCCATTGTCATCACTGTATCGTAGAAACATTCACTTGCATTTTATTAAAATTGTATTCAACATCTTTGCTGGACAGTAGAAATGAGTTTTAATTCTATATGTGCCAACATGTGACTAGATTTGGTGAGATTCTACCGAAATATGTGCTTCATAGCAATTCATGTTAACACAAATTTCCATTATGAATTATCTTGAACTGTGTCTACTTCTCTATTTAATTCTAAATATATTTCTTTTAATGTACTGCTTTGTGCACAGAATGGAGACTGACTGCAATCCTATGGACCTATCCAATAACACAGGGGTTGAAGACCATTCTGAATTCAAGGAGTTTGAAGGAACAGAAGTGAAGGACATGAGATTAGAAGCAGAAGCTGTTGTTAATGATGTCTTGTTTGCTGTGAGCAACATGTTTGTCTCTAAAAGCCTCCCATGTGCAGAAGATGTGGCTTACATCAACGTGGAAACTAGAGAAAGGAACAGATACTGCCTAGAGCTCACAGAAGCAGGACTTAGGGTAATTGTTCTTTTCATGGAGATGCTTCATAAGAGTTTGCCACAGGGCAGTCTGTGTTGTTGCAAAAGTTCTTCATTCTTTTTTTTCTTAAAATGTTACAAAACATTTACTTTTATATAGGAAATGATGATACAACTGTTTCATTTTTTATTATCAAAATATATTTGAGTTTTAAATCTGAATTGAATGGCCAGTTTTGATCTACTGCTTTTCCATAAAAGAACTTCTATCAGTTTCTCTTATTTTTTGGCAAAGATCCTGTGTCTCTGCAACAGATAAGCCTTCCTCCATCAGTGTTTGTTCATAAAGGAAAAGCTCTAAATTTGTGTTTCTATTTATCAGACTTCTTCATAGAGTTCCAGACAACCCTTCAGAAAAAGGGGCTAACTGTAGTTTGCATTAATAATATGGCCAACAAAAAGTATTGTTTCCACTGTTTTCACATTTAATTCATCACTTCAAGTCCTGTGTTAGGATAGCCAGTCTTGTGGCATGAGGGTCCCTGTTCCTCTTAACAATTGTATTGGAAGGGGGAATTTCAGTGGATGTGATTTGTCATGTCACTCTGCTTAAACAGCTGCATGGGCAAAATCACTCTGTGCAAATATTGACTGTGTGTACTGTTTAATGTTGTACATTGGCATCTATTATGTAAAGCAATTATTTCCCTAATGATCTTTAAAGCTCCAGGAAACACAATATCCTTTTAGATCCATCTGTATTGTGAAGATGAGTATAAAAATTCCATGCTGGAAATTAATTGATACATGCAAGCAGTTGCTTCCCCTTCCCCCATATATGCATTTAAAATATTTAAAGTCCCACTACACCAGCCTGTTTGGGTTTCCTTCCTGACACCATTTCTTTTCCAATTGTAAGCAGTTCTTGAGATTTTAGGTCCCTGGTCTTAAAAAACCCAGGGCAATAGATGTATAATAGTAATAATAATAGAAATGTAATTAATAATAATAGCAAGACAACTTACATTACAAAAACTGTGTTCGATAGACTAATAATTTAGATTGCTTTAACCATACATTTATAATACACTGAACCTCTTCTTCCTTTTAAAAGTGTATTACTCTTTCTTCTGCAGGTAGTGGGTTATGCTTTTGACCAGGTGGATGATACTGTACAAAATCCCTACCATGAGACTGTCTACTCTTTGTTGGACTCGGTTAGCCCAGCATATAGAGATGCTTTTGGAAATGCACTGCTACAAAGACTAGAGGCTTTGAAAAGGGATGGGCAGTCATGATAGAATCTGCAATCAAAACAGGCTTCAGCAAAAAGTTGCTGCTGGTTAGATTTCTGAATTGGCTGCACTGAGATCTGATGGCAAAAGGAATAATTTCCTTGTGTTCTTTGCTTTGAAAATTCTTTGCTCTGTGAATTTCAATTCCTCCAACTATATATCATTGGTACTAATGTTCTGAGTTAACTGCTGAATTTGTTTTTTAATGTAACTTAGTGTACAGTCCCATCAAGATGAGCATAATCCTCTCAACTTGGAGGCTTATGCTTATCCAGCACAGAACAGGAAGAGCAGTGGAAGTGATTTTTGCCACACCATTCTTGCTTTCCATTTTATCTTGGCTCGCTAATGGAAAGGGAAGGAGCTGGATCAGCCTCAGAATACCTTGCATCCTGGTCACCCCAGTACCCTCCCCTCTTACAAGAGCCCTCTCAGAGAGCAGCTGATGCAGTTCCCTTTCCACACTGGCTGTGATGGGGAGCAGGATCAGAGATCTGATTTCCAGCTCTGAGGTCAAACACTGTCTGCACCCTTGCAATTGGGAACTTAAATGATCCAATACTCACTCCCCCCCCCCAAATTTCAAGGGGTGCGTGGATGGTTTCCTTTGTGAAATATACAGTTACTGCTTTGGGTTCATTTCCCTTTAGATAGTTAGAAGTGACTGAACACTGTGTAGCTTTGATGTCTTTGATATTCAGCTAATGCTTAATTGTAACAATGCCACAGCTGGTATTAAATTTTCCTGACAATATAGAACCTGTTCAGAATTTACACAGTAGCACTTTTCACTGTGTTTGAAGACTAACTCAGTTTTGTCAAACCAAATATTTACCATAGCTAAACTTATTAACATGAATTTTATTTCATCATAAATATTTATATTTAGCTCATTTTTGTGCATACTTTCAGAAATTCTCTAGTTCGTTCACTAGAACATGTGATGAAGCACTCTGTTAAATAAAACATATCTTGGTGTTTGATCCATAAACATTTTTAGCCGAGTACTTATCAGTAACTGAACAGCACCATTCAGTATTTTTACCCTGTGGGTAGCAAGCTTCAGACACTAAACAAAAGATGAAATGTTGGCATAATGAATGTATTCATCAATTGAAATACAAATGGGATAAGCACAAAGATAAAGTATAAAGCCCCATTCTTTATGAAGCCCCATCCTGCTTTGCTTTTGCTGAAACTGCATTAACATTGTGCAAAGATAACGATTTGCAATTACTTTGAAAGTTTACATTATGTACAGTATATTGAAAAGTATTTTTGATTCCTTACTATATTGCAGTTGCTGAGTATTTCTATAATGCCTTCTCTTCTTCCAACCAGTTTAACCATGTTGTATCTTCTTTTATTCAATGTGCAACATAATATTAGTGTATTGTATCAGTTCAGAACCAAAGACTGACATTGGTATTTGAATTATGAGAATATAGATAGTCTTAAGTATAAAATATGTTAACTTCCAGTGTTGCTGTATATCTCTTAATGTACTCTGCTTGGAAGAACAGCCTCTTTTTAGAACAAAGCTATATATTCACAGTACTAAGAGATACCTAATTCTGAAAATGAATAAACTTATAAAAGCTTCAGCTGCTTGGTACATGTTGCATATAGTACATATACATGTTATGCATTCAGGTTTACTTAAGTGATAGTGCTTTGTCCTAACTGAGAATCTGGTTTAAGAACTGCAGGACTACTTAGCATACTATGGCTTTTCTTAGTTATACTAGAATTATAGCTGAAACAACCTGTACTACAACCTCCTGTTTTGAAGCAGAGAGTGTTTTCCTACCTTTTTATAAGCTGAAAGAGCTTGCATTTTCCTTTATCCATATATACATAGAGGGTATTTCTTTAAAAACATGAAATGCACAAAGACTGTGGGTAACTATGCATTCGCAATCGGGATTTAAGGCAAGGAAGGTAGATATTCATGAGGAAAATGTACTTTGCCCCATTGTATCTTGGTACTCGTTTTAGAGATTAAATAAAGAGAAACAAAATACATAATGAGGCTATCTCTCCTTCTGTGTGTGTGCATGTGTGCGGATATAGACAAGTGAAGGAAAATCAGTTTTTGCTTTGTGATAGTTTAAATTTCTTAGGAATAAGTTGTCTAACTGTATGGGCCTGTCCCATCTGTGAAATTATCTTTAAAAAGGCATCTAGTGATGATGCATGTCCAGATTTGCATTGATGGTGGTGGGAAATATTATGTGTATTTCTCAGAGCAGTCTCTTGCCTCAGACAGCAATAAAGTCTCCAGCTGATGAAAAGGAAGGAGGTGGCTGTTGTCCAGAGTACAGAAGACAGCAGCTTGGACTACTGAAGCCCTGCTTGCTTCCCGGCAGCTGTACCTGCTATGGGAATAGTAGGAGACTCCTACTGAAAGAAGTGAAAGCTATGTATCTTGCCTTTTGTTGGCTTCCAAAACTATCTGATGTTTTCACCGGCATCTAGAGTATAAAAATGTTTTGCTCTAATCAATGGCCAGCTTGATGCAACAGCCAGACACAGTATTGCTGTGATACACATACTTTGCCATCTTGATCGTTCAGACTACAATCCTGTGTAAAGGTTCTTTTTCTGGATCTGGAAAGAGATTCGAATTCCTTGGCAATGTATGGGCTTTGCAAGCACCCAAAGGTTACAGTTTCAAGTTTGGGCATTTCTAGGATATCTGCACAAGTCTACTGACGATGAAAGAGACAAATTGAGTTGTCTTTCCAATGTTACACTTTGAGTTTTCACAATATCTTGAATGTAAGTCTTTTCAAGTAGGAAAAGGGAATGCAATCATAGTACTATATTAATACCTAGATTCCTCATTATATGCAGAATAAACAACATTGTTGAAGGAAGTCCCACTGTTTTGCCCAACTTTTGTCTGGATTGTCTATTTTTGGATCTTTGATAGCATATATATGCTTTATTTAAAATGTTATATAACAGTACTTAGGTATAGGGTAACTTTAAATTATTTTTACAAAGCTATCAAAGACTTCCTGTATTCAAAAGGCAGTTGAAACACCTGTCACCTATCAAGTATTCACCACCATCTCCAAAACATGTCCTCAGTTTTCCTAATTTCTATTTTTCCACCTTGAGGTTAAACATCTACTTCTGCCTGACACCCTCAAGAGCTGATGCCAGTGAATTTTGCCAATGGTCTGACCTGCTATAGGGTAGCACCATGTTTTTCTTATATTTCTATACAATATTTCATTTTAGAAGTCTTCATGAATCATCACTAATTTTACTGTGCTGCAATATCTGGAGATACATATTCTGAAAAGGATACTTTGAAATGTAAAATTGTTTTTTAAAAAATAAATCCTGACAATGCCAGGATAGATCATCCCCTTTTGTGTTTGAGAGGAAGTGACTTTCAATAGGACAGCAATGTAGTTCCAGCACTCAACTGCATGCAGAAGCATTTTGTGCTCCAGTGATGCACTTATAAAAGTTAATCAGCTTTTAAAAATAATAGTAATAACAGTTAATTCAGTTTCTCACACATAGGACCTGTATTAGACTGGGAATGTCTGTTTTTGCAGCTACCTTCCATTCCTGTATGATGGATCACTCAAGCGTAACAATATGGGCTCTAAGCATTGACTATGAAGGGAGATGAAAACCAACAATACTTGGATGGCCTCAAGTTACTCACTCCTAGGTAATTTGAAATGTTTATACTCAATGCAGGTTGCAAAGTTACTTTATTTTTAGCAAGAGCTAAAATTTAGTAATTTCCCCTCCTGTGTGTCATTTTCTTTTCCTTATATTTAGTTGGAATACAAAAAGTATTATATGTATGATCAACGCATGTTTTGCCCTATGATTTTTCTGCATTATTTTCTATAGGCCACCAATCACTTTCTTGCTGGAGTATAGAAAATTATTTCTGTGACAGAATCTGCAAAAGACACAAACAGTCTTCAAAATCAGCTGTTAAAAAAATCTTCTAGCTCCCTGCATTCTCCAGTCTGGCTTGAATTTAAAAAAAAAAAAAAGCCTTCTGTAACCTGATGCTTGTTGGACACTCGGGAATTAGGATCCAACCCATCCGGAGAACAGGGAGCTGCGAAACACGCAACTATGACTGCGGTCGTGTACGCTTTCTGTGCTGCTGGACAGCAACTCCTATCATCCTTCTCCACTGGCCATGTTGGCTGGGGAACATGGGGATTCTAGCCCAGCACCGTCCGGAGCGGCTCAACCCCTCCATAGGGAAGAAGCATTTCCAAGCCAGAAGGAGCTTCCTTCAGCATAAACACACCTACCCCAAAGAAGCCTCAAGGCGAATTTTGCGCAGGCCCCGCCCCCTCCTGTTATTAAGCCCCGCCCGGCGGCCCAGCCCGCGCCTCCGCCTGGCCCCGCCTCCTTTTTTGTTTTCTTCGGGGAGGCCCCTCCCTCTCCCTCCGAGTCCTGCGCGTGGCTCGGTCGCTTAGCAACCGCGACGCTTTCCTGTTAACCGCAGCCATGTCGGAAGAAGAGGAGGCCGTGGCGGAGGCCGAAGAGATCATTCGAAGCCAGCGGATCTTCCTGAACCACTTAGACACCTACGCCGGCAGAAACATTGGGAGGGTGAGGAGGACGGAGGGGGTCACCCCTGGGCCGGGCGGGACTGCTGTGGGTGGGAGGGAGAGACAGGAGGAGGCTGAATCACAGTTGTGGCTCACTAGGATTTACATATTTGATTTATATCCTGGCTTTTCTCATTTTTAAAGAACTCAAAACAGCTTACATCATTCTCTTCCTCCTCTCAATGTTCTCCCCACAACAACAACAACCCAGTAAGGTAGGTTGGGCCTCGAGTCTGGGACTGGCCCAGTCACTCAGTTGGCTGCATGGCTGAGCTGCACTAGAACTCTGATCGCTTGAGTCCCAGTTGCTCGTAACCACTGCACCACCACTGGTCCTGTGGTTTGAATGAGTACAGTGGCTTTTAATCACACAACAAATGTTAATTGGCTCACTGTTGGAATAGTGTCTGTGTTACCACCCAACAGAGATGATTAGTGAATGGCATCTGTTCAAGTAATCACTACATCTGTACTCTTTTTGCATTTTAGTTTCCCCAAAAGCACTGACTACTTTTGACCTCCACCCATATTTCAACATGTTTGTGTTTACAAAACTGCCAATTTAAAATTAACTTGCATTAAATACTGTCCATGAAAAACATTGTTAATCTTTAAGGTGCAACAAGACATTTTATAATATTGCAGGTATAGTCACAACATAGATTTGTGTAAAACTATTGCTATGCTGGCAGTTTTATTTTCAGAAACTTTTAAAATAAAATATAGCATTTTATATGGTCTGAAGAGCTTGGAGGGAAGACCATCTAGGAACCTCATTAGCCAGCTTGAGTTCCACAATGGGAGAAGGGTGGGATGTAAATATAATAATGAATAATAAGATAGAATCCACCTTTTTCTCATCTGCTGCACACTGGATCATTTTCAGTGAGTTCTCTACAATGACCTCAATTATTGTTCTTGATTGTTCACCCCCAGCTCAACCCCCATCAGTGTAAATTATGATTATATTTATTAACTTATTTTAATCTTTATATACCTGCCCATTCCCATTAATGTCACCTTTCTCCTATTGCAAGGAACCCCAAGGTAGCTTACATAATTCTCCTCCTCCTCCTCTCAATTTTTCCTTACAACATCCTGTGAGGTAGATTAGTCTGAGCGTCATTCATTGGCCGAAAGTTACCCAGTGAACTTCATGGCAGAACGGGCATTAGAATCCATGTCTTCCAAGTCCCAGTCCAACACTCTAAGTATGACACCACCTTGTTTCTCAATGCTTTGTTAAAAGCATTTTGGATTTTCACATATACAGTGTCTTCCAGATCACATATACAATGTCTTCCCTTTGACCTTTCAAAAAAATAAATCTAAAAGATCAATGAGGCAGAAGTGAAAATCAATACTTATTGATATGTCATTTTGCATCAGTCTTTTCCAAACTGGTGCCCTCCAGATAGTTTAGACTACAACTTCCAGCGTTTCTGAGCATTGGCCCTACTAGCTTGTGCTGATGGATGTGGAAGTGCAAAATACCTAGAGTTTGGGGGAGGTTTTTAATATCTGTTTGCTATTTTATTTTTAATAAAGGTATCCAGCAATGTACTTGGAGCAGATAACAAGCTAACTGACATGTAGTTTCCTGGAGTTCCCTTGATCCCTTTTCCATGTTTAAATCCATGTTAAACTGGCAGTTTCCAGAGACCACTTTAGGGATAAAGTTCTCTGTACAAGGAAAAGCAAATTTTAGGTAGATGATTTACAACTTAGTCTCCTTGTCATGTTAGTTTACTACATGAAAAGATTTGAAGACTGAATAATTCAATCATGAAAGCCCACCATCAGCACTGCCAGCTGCCTTTCACGTGAATCCTATAGGATAAATAAAGAAGGGAATAAGAAGGCAGTGGTCAAGGAAGGGATAGCATGAGAGATCTCACTTGTCTGTAGCTTTCCACTAGTATACCTAGCTGCAGAATGCTGAACTGCACTTAGAGCCCTACCAAAATGCTCTAAGATTAGAGCTGAATTCATAGCTTATGTAAGAAGTCCCGAGGCTATGCGATGGAACGACATACAAATACTCTAAATAAATAAATAGCTGCTGATTATTTCTACAGAAAGAACGTTATAACTTTAAAACTGAAGCTTGTGGCATGTGCTTTGGTTCACAGGTTCTTTCAAATACATTACCAGTATGAAAGCAACCCTAGGTTATCCATTTAATCATACACATTTACATTCTACGCATTACCAGATGCCATCTTACAGCAAGACTGAATTCTTTATTCTAAACATAAAACATGCACTTTTCTATTTTCAGAAATCACTCTCACTGGCAAAATTCATTTTTTCATTATTAAATATATATTAAAATATCAGCATAACAATACTACATATAAAGTTTATATATGCATAGATTTAAACACATTTAAGAATATCTTTAGTCAAGGCTTCTAAGCAGAG